AGACGGTGCCACAGGTTACACTTCGCGGCGCTCCCTAGCAATCTTGAGAGAGGTGTTTCCTGGACGTCTTCTCTCTTTGCGAGGAGACATCACCTAACCGCCAAGGTCACTTGATTTATCCCCTTGTGGTTTGGCGACTTAAGAAGGCAATCGAACAGGCAGTGGCTGCCATTACACCGGAAATGACACGAAGAGCTATGGCCATTCTCGAAAGTTAAAAGTGTAACCTGTGGTACCGTCTTGTTGGAACCAGACTTCTCCCTTATCATGGTTCCTAGTAAACTGGTTTAGGTAAGGTCATAAGAAAATGGCATGTATACAGCTATCGATCGATACCCCCTCCACTGTTGTACCACCACCACAACTCATACAGTGCCATTTCGAAATGAGGGAGGTTTTTTTGCCGGACCCTGTATATAATACATATTAGCTAACTTGTATGTATATATAGTTAATCGACCTTTGCATTAACATGTTTTTATGTGATTACGAACAATAAATAACAAGCACCCATGTGAACTAAGTGGTACAGTGTGTAAAATATGTGTCTTACATAAGATGGATCACTCGGTATAATGTTTATTTAGAGTATGTGCGGTATTGATGAAAACTTTTAACATACACAAAGCATCAAGAAACTACGAACAATGTTTTTTTTAATTTTAAATTACGAATACGTTTCTACTTCTAAGTAAGTTTTGGTTGTCCATATTTCGGCAATACAGTGAAATAAAAACATGTTTTGCAGCGTTGTTAGTTTATTTACAAAGCTATTTTTTTTAGCATCGATGCCGAGCTAGTAGAATTCCTATGATGTGTGTTTTTTTTGTATCTGCTAACAAGTTACCATAATATAGTATGGCCCAATTTACTTTAGAAATCCGAAATTATATGTGATTTGGTGACTTTGGAGGGTCAAAAGTAAAATAAGTCAACTTCTTCACCACCAGAACGAAAAAAAATCTTTAAAAAAAGGTTGTCGGTTTTTCAACTTTTTATAACTTAGCGAAAAACTGTTGAATCGAGTCAAAATTGTAAAGAATGTTTATCAGCCATGCCCCTATACTCAAATAACCTCAAATCTAAATTTTTAATATTTCTGCACTCCTTTGCAGGATTTAATTTTTAATAAATGGTATTTGGTATGAAAATTGATTTAATATACAATTTTAATAGTATTACTTACTTATGACCTTGATGTATAGTGAAATAGGACTAATGGATTAAATATTATCGAAGGTCTATAAGCTGAAAAAATATGAAAATTAGAAAGTTATATTGAAAGTGTACAATTAAACTACCTTTGAAGTTTTGATAATATTACTTACTAAAACAATTGCAATGATAGTTAAACCGACTGCTTCAAGAGTTTTTTTACGACTTGTCGAATAGAATCTATTATGTCGACGGAAACAATGCAATGTAAATAGGTTTTTCAGAATTGTTTTTGCGAATACTATTAACATAAGCAACATAGTCATTTTTTTGTTTTGACTAACATATTTACATTATTCGGAAGCCGAGTTTAAATTTTTACGAACCAGTTATTGAAATAACAAAAACAAAAGCCATCGTTGAGGCGGTGGGGCATACGGACACGGGTTGTATTTGGTATGAATCTCTTTATTTTCATTACATTTTTTTATAAACATGTTATTTGGCATTATAGGTTTCTGCGATAATAACAATACTACAAATATGTATACATACAGGGTAATTTTTTTATCATAGGCCACTTAATATCTCATAGGATCGGCCATGTCCACATTACTCCATGTTTGCGTGACTTCACAATAACATGGTATTTGCGGGTAGTTTTATTTTTCCAAATGTAAATAGACAAATAAGTTAAACTAATGTTGACAATACGAATAGCAGTATTAGCCGACCTTAGCGCACAGCCTACAATATCACTGAGAGCCGTTTCAGGTACCTACTAAAAAAATATATAAGAAAAGTGAAACATTAGTTATTTAATATTTTCATTAAGGAAATGTTAGGGTTAACTTACTCATCTGTACAGCGTATAGCGAAACAAAATAAGTTTCATGCTTACAGATACATTTATGTTCAGCACTTGCAGTTTAGTGATTTTAACGTCGTCTTGAGTATGTTGCCAAAATAATTATTAAATTGGAAGAAGAACCGTCATTTTTGTCAAATATATTGTGGACCGAAGAGGCGAAGTTTTATAATAACGGTACTGTTTATTCGCACAACAGACATTTCTGTAGCGAAACGAACCCACACAGTATATTGCAAAATAAAACTTAACAAGTGCGTTTAAGCGTCAATGTGTGGTGTGGCATCATTGACTGTCATATAATTGGTCCTTATTTTTATCAAGATAATCTTAATGCTAGGAAATATCTAGGGTTTTTGAAAAATTATTTACCATCACTTTTGGAAAATTTACCACTCCAGAAGCGGCTAAATATATTTTGGCAATAGGACGGAGCTCCAGCCTATAATGCGAAAACTGAACAAAAATACTTATCTAATACATTTGAAATTTGATGGATGGGTACGAAAGCGAAGGTAACAATGGCCAGCAAGATCGCCTGATTTTAACAGTCATGGATTTTTATTTTTGTGGCTTCCTTAAGAACGAGGTCATAAAACCCCTATATTTGATGTAGACACTTAAAAAAAATAAAATAAAATATATATGTTCAAATTTACTGGACACGATTTTGAAAAAGGTAATAGCTGATAAGGTAAAAAACAGTTATCACTTTGTTTGGATACGAATCGACAACATTTTGAGCATTTATTACAAAAATAAATAATTATACTTTTATTTTTTGTGTTGAAAAATCGTATTGTTGACTTATATTTCACATAGTTGAACTAATAAAATCTGTGATAACAATTATGCACAATCATTGGCGGCTACAGCTATACTCTGTATTAATTCTCCAAACTTAAGTGTTTTAAAAATTTACTTTTTGGTCAATATTGTGTAAACAAAAAATATATAAAGAAAATTTTATCAATCAAGCAAGTAATACGTCTTTTATACTACTAACGAATATCTTTGTAAATATTATTGTTTTCATAATCTTGCGGTGTACAATCTATAACAAAAAAGCAAATCAGGTATACAGTTAATCAAACCCCGTTTGTTGTATTTATTCATAACAGTTTCAATTAATAAAACAAACAAATTTTAATTTCTCTAAAAATGAATTGATTGTGTTATCCAGATAGAATTATCCTGTAATAATTATTATCTTTCAATTTGTATTTTTATATTTACCTAATATACTAAGTTTTTTAGAAAACACAAATTAATGTATAAAGAAAATTTGATCGTTTAAACAAATCATAAGTTCATTTTACTACTAATGAATAACTTTGTAATTACTTTGGTTTTCATCATCAGCCGCTGGAATACCTGTAAAAATAATTTTAAAAATAATTTAGTTATTCAAACTCAGTTTGCTGTATTTATCCATAACAGTTTCAATTAATCAACGCTAAACATAGTATTAATATTAAATAACTGTTGAATAACTTCGTAATTACGAATTTTGGGTTTATCAGCAGGGATACCTGAAACAAGAATATAATACAGCTACGTAAACCCGGTTGTTATATTAATTTATAACAGTCATTCGAAAAATGAAATTACTTTGACCAATAAGTCAATGCAAAATGTTTTATTAATATAAAATTAATCTCTAGCAAGTAGTAACGTCTGAAGTAATTCTTTCTTCACAATCAATTTAATAATAATCTAATTTTTTTATGTGTATTAATTCTGTCTTCCACAAAATTTTTGGTGACCTATTATTCCTTGATGAACCTAATTATATTCAGTACACTTCGAAATTGTTTAAAGATGTGTTTGAAAAACCTAAGATATGTAACAATCTAATATTTTTGTAGTTTGTTTACATTTACGTTTTAAGGGGCTTATTGGCCTTAGAAAGTTGTTTATTAAAAAACTGATAATTTTATATTCACCTATTATCTTAAAAATTTCCCGTTGCAATCTATTTTCTTCTGTCATTATGGAATCTAAATTTGAAAATAAAACCAATATGTACAATATATAAATCTTTGAAAGATATAAAAGTGTTAATTGATTACGTTGTAGTAATTCAAAAGTGTGAGTTTCTGCATGTTCTGAAATTAAAGCGAAAAATGTATATACTTATTGATTATCAAGCGACTATGTGAAAATATGTTAAAAAAGTATTACCCGGTACAGTGAACATTTGATTTAAATATACTGAAAATAGCAATAAAAAAATTGTTGGTATTGAATTTAATACTCTATTCTATCATAAAGTAGAGTAGAAAAGTTAAGAAAAAATAATATGTGTGTTAGTAATTCGAAATAAAATGGCTAGCTCTATAATATTAAATAAGTTTGAAACCTTATGAAATAACAATGGCTGTATTGAATCACATGGGGAGTAGAATAAGACGAAATAAGATTATTATCCCTGAACATTAGCCTTAAACCTTTCACTGTCCTGGACGTGCTATTATGCCACAATCAAATGAAGAAGTACAGGTTACCAGTATAGTGACGGTTGGGACGTGTTGCAGTGTGTAAAACACAATGGCAGTGAAAGGGTCAAAAATATATTTTATTGTTCTTTCTATAGGTACATTTCTTCTATAACCAAGATTTTTAATATCACATAATTATTATTACTCATTGCATAGTGATCTTTATCTATTATGACTGTAAGTACATGCTCTAATCCATCTAAAACAAACAAATACAAGTTTGACGTTTAGAAAAGTTCCAAATAAAATAAAAATTAATAAAAAAAAATCATTAGAAAAAATTACACCATGCATTAAGCAACTACCCTTATTGGGATAATTAGCCAATTCCTGGAGTCAGGTGAGCTCATAGTAAAAATGCATGGGCGGCCTCCTCTTAAATATAAAAATAAACTTATATTTTATTTACAAGTAATTTGACACCTATGCAATCATTGTAATACAATTATATATTAGTACATTGATTATTATCTTACTTTCTATATGATCATCTTTATAGTTAGAAGCTTTCCGAATTTGTAAATCTGTAGTAAATGTTTAAAAAAAATTGGTATGTATAAAATTAGTGAAATTTAAAAACTCTCAAAGTTAGTCTATATGATTATAAAATATAACTTACTTGAAATTTCAACCATCTCTATATATTTCACTGTAAAGAATAGCTAAATATTAATTTTTTTTAGATTTTCATCTACGTTGTGTGCTTAAGTATAAAAAAAATACTTACTTATACTTATATCTGCCAAAACATTTACGCAGATTAATGATATTAAAACATAGTAAATTTTCATTTTTATCTAGAAAAAAAAAAATATAAATTCAATTTATATAAGTCGGGTCTTCCGGAGTAGTCGAGATGAGAAAGTTTTGGTTTTAAAATTTCTTTTTTTATATATATTTTATGATTTTTGACTAGAGATGTGGGATAACTTAATCTAACCGAAAAATAGTTTTTTTTTTATTTATCTAGTTGATGTTTTTTAGGATTATTTGAGTTAATTTCAATTACTTGTGTGGGATATTGACATTTTTTTGTCTTAGCACATGCACGGAAAAATCGACACCATTTACAATCGACTCCGGTTATCATAACAAAAAAATCAGCTGATTTATCCGATAAGATAGGAGAGATAGGATAAGATAAGATAGTCTAAGATGTATAGGCAACCACTATGATTTCAGGGGGCATACTTTTGTCGCGATTTCTTATCATTGACTGTCTCGTATTGTAATGTATAGTATTTGTTTTTACTTTGGAACACAACTGACCGGAAAAATCGACACCGACATCGAAAATGTATCTTTATATATCTATAACAACAGTGAATAAGTGTGCAAGTAGAATTTTGGTCAACATTTTTTAAGTACGCTACGATGTAGTCCAGGACGTTTAGCACACCTCGGATAAATGTCTACCTCGTTGGACCAACAAGTAAACCTTGAGAGAGATGTGAGTTATTGGTTAAGTAGCGATTTATGGCAGCTGGTCAAAGTTTAAAATCGCTCCCTTTTAAAATCACTGAAATCGACTTGCACACTTATTCACAGTTGTTACAGATATATCCTTCTATAACCTTATATATCCTTCTTATGAGGGTGGGGATAGGGATGGGGATGGGGATGGGGCTGGGAATGGTGGCGGGGATGTTAATTTTTTTTAACTATGTGTTGTTTTCACAACGAACAAGCTTGAATGAATGGTTAAATTGATTCAAAATAACCAAGTGAATGTTTTGCCAATAAATCGATTAAGGCCAATTATTAAAAAACGACTAAAAAACCTTTGGCCACAACATAAAATAATCATCAGCTACATTTCGAGTACCGTGGTTATCATCGTTACAAACTGTGTGTTTATTTTTGGGTTAGCAACGAAAACAATTTCAAGTGATATCAAGGCGTACGCGGAACGAGAATTAAAAATGTATCCTCGTGGTGTTAAAATATGATATGTAATACCTATGTGAAAACCTTTAATAGAGCCTTGCAAATTGCAAACATTTTATTTTTAAGATGTATTGTGTATATAAGGCTCGGGTCTTTCGGAGTGGTCGAGATGAGAATGTTTTGGTTTCAAAATTGTTTAAGATGTATTGTTTTTTTTTTTATAGTTATCTTTTAAGAATACGTTTTACACTAAATTTCCTATTGCAAATCTTGACTAAGCAAAATGCTTGTTGCTCTCAATTCATATGGCTTTTTTTGCAATTATTTTTATGATATAATCGAAAAAGAATAATGATTTGGATGAAACGTTCTTAGAAAATTTATATTTTAAATTAATAAAAGTACAAGATGAAAAATAGCTTAAACTTGAGGTGTATTTTAAAGATACAATTAAAAAAAATGTTTCATCATAAATAGTCATTTAAATTTCAAAAACATTATGTTTGTCCATATTTCGGCAATACAGAAAAATAAACTTGTTAGTTTATTTACAAATCTGTTTTTAGCATCGATGCCGAGCTAGTATTCCTATGGTGTGTGTTTTTTTTTTGTATCTGCAAACACGGTACCATGTTTGACTATGACCCGGTTTACTTTAGATACTCTTAGATGGATAGAAATCGAATGTGATTCGGTGACTTTGGTGGGTCAAAAGTGGAAAAAGTCAACATCTCCACCCCCAGAACCACAAAAACCCTAAAAAATAAATTGTCAGTCAATTTTTAACTTTCTATAACATAGCGAAAAGCTATCGAATTGAGTCAAAATTGTAATATAATATTTTTCTGGCATGCTTGTACTCACAAATATCCTCAAATCCATATTTCAATTATTTTTCACTCTCCGAAGGATTAAATTTAAAAAAATGGTATTTGGTTTTAAATTGATTAAACATTATAAAGAAACATGGATGCAAATGTTTAGTATACTAAATATAGAATATCGTTTTTAAATTATTCTTAGATAAACGTTTTTAAAGGTCACCCATATTTGTTTAAAAGCGTACTTACAACTTTTGAAGTCTGATAGTATTACTTACTTATGATCTTGATGTATAATGAAATAGGACAAGTGGATTATATGTAATCGAATGTCTATATGCGGAAAAAATTAGAAAATTAGAAAAATATTTTGAAAATGTACAATTTTACTACTTTTGAAGTTTTGAGAATATTCCTTACTTAAACAATATCAACGATAGTTAAACCCGACTGCTTTAAGGTTTTGGTAACGACTTTTCGAATAGAATCTGTTATGTCGAGCAATACAGTGCAATGTAAATATGTTTTTCAAAACTGTTTATGCGAATTTATTAACATAAGCAGCATAGTCTTATTTTGATAACTAACATATTTACATTATTTAGAGGAGTTTAAATTTTTACTAGCCTGCTATTGAATTTACAAAAACAACAGCAATCGTAGAGGTGATGAGGCATGTTACACACGGTGAGTATTAGAATATATGAAACACTTTATTTTTAAAACTTATTTTTTATTAACGTGTTATTTGATTTTATAGGTTTCTCGGGTAAAAAACAATACTATACATATATATATATATATATAAATACGTATATTGTTCATCGCTATCTATTGTAAATATGTATATAAAGTATACATACAAAATATATACAGGGTGTAATGTAAAGTTCTACCGAGCTTCAAATGAGACATTCAGGATGCTCTATGGGTACAATAAATGGTATTCATTTTTTTTTTATTTTAAAATTAAATGTTTTAAATAAAACTCGTATCTCATTAAAAAATTGTCTTACAAAAAAATTATTTTAGGTTTGAAATCGGTAGAAGAAATTTTGTTGAATTGATATGTAACGTGACTTTTTGGTATCTGGCCACACATACGTCCACAGGGTGGCCAGCATGTGACGTAAACCAACATATGGCACATGCGGCAGATAATTTAATATAAAATAATTCTAAGGAAGCCTCTGAATTGAGAATAAAATTCAAACTGATAATGATGTGTCACTTGCCATATGTTGGTTTCGGTCACATGCCGGCCACTCAGTGGCCACTCGGTAGACGCAAATGTGGCCAGATACCAAAATAATAAATTCCGAAATAATTTTTTTCGTATGACTATTTTTTTAATGAGATGCGAGTTCTATTTTAATTAATTTTTAAATAAAAAAAAAATGACTACCATTTATTGTACTCAATGTCTCATTTCAAGCTTGGTAGAACTTTATATTATACCCTGTATATATTAGGGAACTTTGCATCAACATATATTATGTGTTCAGTGTTCCAACCATGTTAGAGTTAAAATATATGTATATTCTAAGACTACGCCACAACAAGTGCTACAAGTTATACACTACAATGCTAAAAATCAATTCAAACCGAAGCTGAATACATTGAAATATACATAAACATTTAGCACAGTAGACTCCGCTTTTTGGACTCACCGTTAATCTACTGTATTATAATAATAATTACAGGTTGATCCATCTGGTTTAAACACTTATTTTCTTGAAAAATATTAAATTTTTAAAAATTATTTTTTCTCATACTTGCATGTATATATTTTACTATATTTTTCAATACATTGACTATTTTTTTTCTTTATCCCTTATACGTAAAATAAGTATGGACTTATAAATAAAGCAGCAATAAACTACGAATATTTTTGTAAAAAACGACTACGTTCAGTCCACAGCTAAAACAAAAAAAAACTGAATAACTTCTATCTGAAAATTTAACTCATAATAAATTACCCAGAAAGCACAAAAATTAAAAACTTTTCAATAAACCATCACTGATTTACGCTTTTCAAAGTGTTATTCAGCAATTAAATTAATCTGAAGTCTGACAATTGTTTTGCATTAATTTTATCCGGTATTATTTTATTCTCGATTTAGATTTGCAATATATTTGAAATGTATTGAACTCTTTCAATTATACTTCGATGTATGTATACAAAGGGAACAAAACGATTAGGCTATTATCGCTGGCATGTAAAATAATGACAAAAATCATACTCCAAAGAATGGACAATAAGCGATTACCAAGACGAATACCACTTTTGATCAAATAAGCGACTTGCTGCATAAATATAAAATCATTTAAGTAAAATGTTTTAAGTGGATAATCCCATGAAGGTATTGGACTTTTTTTTTAATTAGTTGATTTATTACGAAAAAAAAATAGATTATGACCCGTTTAATATATTTTTCAATATTAGGACAGTTTTAAATTTCATCCTTTGTACGTTAAATAAGTTTGGACTTCATGTTTGCGAAATGTTGTGTGTGGAGGACTGATTGTCGATAAGAGGTTTATTCTTAGGTGGCATTGCGGCTTTATCTAGTCTACCGTTCCAGAGGTCACAAAGGTCGTGCAGTGCCTGGAGCCGAACACTTGATAATTGTGTGAACCAATTCATTTTGACAATTTTTAGCAGTTTTAAGATAGTAACTTTCGTATGATTGAAATGAAAACTTTACACAAAAGCGTGAATGCATTTCCAAGAACTAAAATAACTAGAAGAACTAGAATAAAATCCGTCGCGAGAATTGAG